GCCCTTAAAAACTCCATACCTAAATAAGAGGATTTTGCAGATTCTTCACTACAAAAATTAATACTTTGAGGCTTTCCTCTTTTACCTGTATGTTTAATGATAATTTCCCGATGCAGTGACAGGTTTTTCCTTGCGCCGCTATAATTTCGGTATTTTTGGTTTTAGATAATCGTAACCTATAAAAATTCTTTTTGAAGAATGTTTCGCTCATAAAATTACCTTCTGCTCCTGTATCGATGAGCGCTTCTACTGGTACATCGCCAACCAGGACTTGTGTAACTGGTAGATGTGAGTTTTTTACGATGACCGTATTTAAATGTCTTTTTGAGGGATTTTTTAAAACTTCCGGGGTCTGGACCCTCGCTTTCACAGGCCCCTCTACTCGTTTAAAGCTTTCCTTTCAACTTCTACCTTCTGGGTACGCGTATGTTTGTTTTCGAATTTCCTTTTTGGGCCTTGACCTTCGAGGTTCGATGAGTTAGCTTGATAGCTCTTTCCCCCATAAGAGCGGTTTGCATTTCTGGTTTGCTCATTTGAAGATTGCCTTCGTGTACTTTGAGAATACGATGCCCCTCTAGCTTTTTCCGCTATTCTGCGATTTTGAAACTTCACCGCCAATTCGAAGAGCTCCTGCAATGTGCTTGGGTTTCTAATTTCGAAGTAGTCTTGAACAGCAGGTAACAATCTTGGTAAGATTATTTCAATAATCTCCGCGTCGGGTTTCTTCCCATACAGCATATCCGTCAGCTTAATTTTTCGCAGAATAAAGTCCATCAACTCTTCTATATCCCGTTGATAGAAACTATATAGTTCGGCTTCCAGCCTTGCTCGATCTTTCACTATGGAGAAGGCCTTTACTAACGATTTTTTGAAATTTTCAAATGTATATGTCTGGCTTCCAAATTCCCCTAATAAAAATTTGCCTATATTCTTCCACCATAGCGCGGCCTGTCCTCTTAGTGCAGATGTGGCGATGGCAACTTTCTGTCTTTCAGGCACATGGTAGAGCTGAAAGTGATTTTCTAGGCCCTCTAGAAATATCGCCACCGAATTTTTTCCGTCGAAATTGACGTTTGGCTTGATTGACGCTCTCAAAGTCTGGACCAGGTATACAAATCCTTCCAATTGGCTTGCCATTTCTAGTTGTTGTCCCGCGGCTTCCATCCGATTTTCGGCCATTTCAGATCGACAAGTGTTCGGGCGCCAATGTAGAGTTGCGCGCCTCCAACCTGCACGCAACCAAGAGGTGACTGTTGAAACTGGAAAATAGACAGAGTCTTGCTAAGGGTTTAAGTCCCTTTTTATTCAACTTAAGAAATTACAATTGCGTGCTCTTGACGCTCACAAACTACGCCGACCCAGCGATAAAATAAAAATAAGAACCTGAAAAGAAATAATAACAAGACTCTAACTACGAGGCTCTCTAAACGTAACTAACCTCACCGCGTTTTAGAATACCGCTGCTAATTCAGCAAACTTTGAATATCACGTTGAACGATTAACAATTCTTCCAGGCAAGCACACAGGCCGAAACGCGGGGTTCTTCAATTTCTGGCTAACTACCTCCGCGCTCGTGAAGTAAGAACAGCACACCTCGAACTCGTTTCCATTCTATTTAACTCAGAATACTTCCGCTGATAATTTGAATCCTTGCGCGTTCTACTAAAATTTACATACTCTGGCATTGGCAGTTCCAGGGGAAAGTAAGGCTTGACAGGAAAGATAGTTTAAACTTAAAATAAATGTTAGTTAAAATAAATATAAACCCTACAACATCCTCAATTAAATCACCAAACAATTTTTTTAAATATTTCTACATTCGAGCAGGCACGAGTGCTCCCATTAACTCTAAACGAGGAGGCGTGATTGATCTTAAAGGTGCAACCCTGCATTTCGACATGATAAAGGAAGTTTTAATTTCTGAATCGTTCATATGGTATCTGAAATATGCGATGGCCCCATATGCTTTAAAACTAGCGTCCGAAAATAGGTGAAGGCTTATATTCATTGGCTCGTCATCAAAGAAATTTCCCTGTATCGATATTTCAGTTAAATCATTAAAGTTCCTCCCGCCAAATGTTGAATTTGTCCTTAATCTGTGCAGGAAGGACCTCATCCCAGTCAGAAACGGAACACCAAATTTCTTGCGTAATAATTTTTGCCCGAATAACAAAGGGTGCAATAAATCCAAATGGATCGTATATTTGGGCGATACTTTGCAAAAGTTTCCTTTTTGTAGCAAAATCGTTTCCAGTAGAAAAGTCAATGAAATTTTTTAAATTTAACTTTATAGTGTCCTCAATGGAATTCCAAATCATGCCTAAGAAATTCGATTCACTAGTTAGTTTGTTATCTGATTCCTTAATCCCATTTGAGACCCATAAATCGTTTAATGCTTTAGAATTAGTTCTTAATTTTCTGAAATTCATCCCAACATCCTTAAATATATTAACCGCATCTACAAATAACCGATATGCATCTTCAACCGTTACTGCTCCAAAATATAGGTTGTCGACATAGACAGAATTCAACATTTGGAAACTGTCCGGCATTTATCTTTATATTTCCGAATGTGATATTTTATAGTGGCGACCAAAATGAAAGGAGATATAGTCAAACCGAAAGCTACGCGACACATTTGCGTAATCTTAAAGGAGTCATTATTTTCATTAAACCAAAGAAATTTTAGAAATTGTCTATCACCTTCAGCAATTCCTATCATAAAAAAGGCTTTTTCAACGTCTCCACAAAACGCTATCTTAAACTTACGAAAATTTAACATAATATCTAGTATAATTGGATTTAGATTAGATCCCGATTCAAGGCAGTCATTTAACGAATTCGTATCCTCTGTCCTTGAGCTAGCATCGTACACAATTCTTACCTTAGTAGTTTCACTAGGTCGTATCACTGCTCGGTGCGGCATAAAATAACCCAAATTTGTATCATTATTCGAACATTCCTCCACAATACCTTCTGGGTTTTCATCCGCAGAGAACCCGTTGGCGCTTCCGGAAAGAACCCGTTGGCGCCGTTACATTTTTACTCGCCAAGCTCGCCGTTCATCGACCATGAGCCGAGCCGTAAACGTCATTTTTAGTGCATGTAAATTCAAATTAGCAGACAAAACAATATATTAAGCATATGGTAATAAAAATTCACAGATGATAAGCATATAGATGTAAAACTAACCGGTTAAACGTGATACACGAAAATAAATTGTATTAAATTCAAATTAGACAGAAAAGAATATATTAAGCATAAGACAATATATAAGGATTAAACGGAAATAAAAATTCATTTAAAAATATAAATTAGTATTAATATGAAATAACCGGTAAGCGTGATAACGAAAAAAATTTGTCTTAAATTCCAGTTAAACAGAGAAAACAATATATTTCCTTACACCAGCAGTGGTTTGCAATTTTGATGACCATGGTGATGCATCGAAAACTATTTTGTCATCTTAGATAATCAATAATATTTTATTTCAATTAATCATCTATTTATGTCACACCTGCCATCTTCTGAAAGGTATTGTTAGAAAAGCTTAACATATATTATCTGTTAACATTTTACGCCATAAAAAAATTGATTTATTCTCATAATTTTAGATGACAATAACCAATAATAAAAATAAAAGATTCTAAATTATTTAAAATGCATATGCACATTTTGCGGCCTACGAAAAAAATTATTTTAGAGGTTGGAAACCTCATGGTTCTTATAGTGTTAATATTTAGGACACAACGTGAAGAGCCGTGTTTCTTCTTTTCATCGCGAACCGAGACCGGCATATATCTACGAAAAATATTTCTATTATTCGTTGTTTAAAAAAATTCAGAAAAAAATAATATAAATAAGAGAAGAATATATAAATCTGCAAATGCGAACAACGCAGTGATAATCAACAAAATGAACGCATAGGAATGGTGCACACTTCGAACAGCGAAAAGGATAATCCGTTGGGTTACTAGGTTTGAACTATTATCGCCAAGTTGGCGATGTTTACATTTACCGGTCTCTGCGGAAGTGCTTCTTCCTTCTAATATCTGGTTCTCTCATTATTTTATATTCCTGAAAATCCCGGAGTTTCATTAGTTTATTGTGAAGGTTAAGCGAATCGTTCTTATACCTTAAATTATTCCTAGATTATTCGGACTTATTTCATAAATTTTGCCTCTATCTTCCGTTTTTAAACTGCAAATTTCTTTCAAACTGGTCTATTATTTCGCAGTCAATATCGGAATAATCATCAGAATCATTATTCCCATATTTAATTCCCAAAAACCTCTTAAATCTCCAACACAACAGTGTTTGTTATTACCAAAATTTTCAGAAAAAGTTTTGGTTTAACCTAGTATCGGGCACACGGGATTTGGGCTACTTTTGGCGACTTTATGATGAGCAGTAAAAACGGGGACATATACGATGCGTATTAACGAGTCATTCAAAGAAATATGTAGTTAAACATAGTATACTATCTATCTATATGTGTGTATACATATACTATGTGTGTATATACAAATCTATGTGTGTAATTATACTATAGACGTTCTTTGGATCATTTTTGGTGTTGGCGATTTTTCAAAGTCGGCTAAGGCTGCCGTATACTGGATTTTACAAATTTTATTTGTTTTATTTTTCGATTCTTAGCAACCCACCAAACACGAATGACTGCGTACAACCTTCGATTTAATCTTTCTGAATAAACTACATTCCAGAAATCATCCCCGCCAATTACAGTAGACGCTCGTTTTTACGAACTCGTAGGGACTACGAAAACAGTTCGTTAAATCGAGAGTTCGTAATTTAGAAAGGCATCGGAAATTGTTAGTATTTCACATTTTAATGTTTTCGAGACAGGTTAGTGATACTATTCCATGCTTTTATTTATGTATTAGGAATTATTTTTAATAGTATTACTACTTAATAAATGATATCCATTCTATTAAACAAACAAGAAATATAAAATATTTGTAAAACGTACCTTTATTAAGTCATTGAGCAACAAAATAATCACTTATCTTTGTCTGTTTTAAAACAACAGATTGTACAATGCAAGACTCCATCTTCTCTATATTTGTTAGCATTTCACAATTATCACTGGCCTCAAAAAATCGTCTAAGTTCTGACAAGTATTCAGCAGCTTGTTTTAAAGTCGGTCTTGGTGTTACTTCATTTTCTTCTTCTTCTTCTTCTTCTGGATCTGAAAGTCTCTCATTCTCGTTGATTATGCTGCTAATAATATCGTGATCCGATATTTCCTCCGTGCAGATGACATTAGAATCCACATTTAAAAAATCCTCGAATGAAAGTTCTGGCAACTGTGGATTTCTACGGCGAAGTTCATGCATGAGAACCTCATCTTCGTCGTGAGATCTATTGTCATGGATTTCTTCAGTTACGTCTGTTTCTTTAATAAAACCTGCATGTCGAAAGGCTTTAGAAATTGTTTCATCTAAAACATCATTCCATGCACTGATTGATAAATGCATTGCACCAAGAATATCAATCTGATAAGGTTGTTCCCTTTCCAAGCCAAGGATTACTCTTTGCAAGAGCACTGTCTTATATTTTCGCTTGAAACTATTGATTATCCCCTGATCCATTGGCTGTAAAACTGCAGTTGCATTTGGTGGGAGATATTCCACACGGATTGCCTGAAGCCCAGTGACTTCCATGTGTGCAGTACAATTGTCCACGATTAGGAGAACTTTGCGCTTCTCTGCTGAAAAACGGTTATCTAAATCTCTCAACCATTTTTCGTAGATGTTGCCAGTCATCCAGGCCTTATTATTAGCATAATATGCAGCAGGAATCTTCTGAACATTTTTGAAACACCTTGGTTTCAGATATTTTCCAATAAAGAGCAGAGGCAATTTTTGTGACCCAGTCATGTTGGCTGCAATCAAAACTGTAAGTCTCTCTTTAGCTTTATTACCTCCAACACATTTATCTCCTTTGTAAGCTAATGTTCGTTCTTTCTGGCAAAATCTTAAAAAAACAAAGCCGTTTCGTCCGCATTAAAAACGTCATCTGCAGCGTATTCAGAAAGAAGCAATTTCAACTTTTCTTCTTTCCATTCATTTGCTGATGACGTGTCTACTGCTGCACTTTCACCACACACTTTCCGGAAACTCAAACCATTCCGAAATTTAAATTTCTGTAACCAACCATCCGATGCTTTAAAATCTTTGATGTTTAATTTGGAAGCAAAAAAGTGTGCTTGTTCTTTAAGTACATTTCCATCAATTGGAATGTTTAAGCTTCTCATCTTTCGAAACCAAACAAGCAAAGCCCTTTCCAAATTTGGGTGTTTTGATTCTCGAAAATATTTTCGAGAGGAGGGTCCACATTCATCGTTTCCGTTTTTAGCTCCAAAGATCTTCTCTCTTGCCTTTAAAATCGTCGATAAACTATTTTTAGGAATTCCATATTTCTGAGCAATTTGTGTCTTGCTTAATATTTTTTCGTCAACTTCTTTTAAAATCTTCTTTATTTCAACCGCTAAACAAATTCGTTTCTTCATTTGCGACATAGCTCTAAGAATCTTACTTAACAAAAACTGGCCCAATCTCCCTCTCGACTAACGAGACTTCACTGATTGAGTTGTCCAGATCAAATGACTATGACATTAAAAAAGCAACAACTCTCTTTTAGAAGCAACCCAAACCCCTTTAACACGAATGGTCTCACCCCACCCAACAACATCAGGCCGATGCTCTTCTGAGAGCCTCCCACAACAAACAACACCATAAATTTGTCCTAATTCCCCCTCTTCTCCGCCCCCTCCTTCCTTACTGTACTTCTTCGAATGTTTCGCACTTGCTGCCTCAAAATAGTTGGAGATTTTATTTGACCTTCACACTTCGTCCCAATGAAACACGCAGAAGTATGAAAACTGAGTTCGCAAAAAAGAGATTTTCCTGATTTGTAGTTCGTAAATAAGAGCGCAAAATTACATTACATCTATGGGAGTGTATTCGGGACCATTCGCTAGTTCGTCAAATCGAGAGTGTTCGTAAAAAAGAGGTTCGTAAAAGCGAACGTCTACTGTAATATCTCAACATCTGCGTTATTTTTTCTTCAGCAATCGGCGATCTGCAACCCCAGATGCTCCATGAAGTCTGCAATTTGTTTACTAGGCACACTGGGCGCCGAGGAAATAACATCGGAGAAATCAAACATTCATTTTTTATTTTGATTTTTATTTCCAATTCTGAATTTTCGATTTTCAACGACCGGATAGGAATGATTGCATTGCCTTGGTCGCACCAAATGAATGAACATAAAGTCTTCTCATAACGGATTGGAGTAAGTTTTAAATAGTCGGCCAATTTTTTCGTTATAAAGGATCTGTGACTGCCTTGATCAAGAATTAATCTAGTCAATTTTGATTTATACTTAGAACAAGCATAAACTGTACAAGTTTGTAATAATATTTCCCTGGCATTACAGTCATTATTAGTCATTATTATTATCATCACCTTGTAGGAACAGAAGCAATCAATTTTAAGTTTTGAACTTTGTTTCTTTCCTCAGAATTCAAAGTCAGAGATTCAGTTTCATTTTCGGAAAAACCTTGTTCCGACTTTTTGTTTACAGGGAGATTTCATTAGTACAAATCGATTCATTGTGATACATACCGCCACATTTATTACATTTAGTTTTATTTTCTACACTTTTTTTGATGTATGAAATTTTTTTAAAACAAGAATAGCAGCGGTTTTCGGATCTTAGTTTCTTTAATTTATCAGAAACATTCACTTCGCATTTAAATGACTCGTGCAAATTATCACAAAAGATGCATTTTCGGTTAACTGCAGTATGAAATGCAGCCGTTGGAGGTGTATTTTTTACATATTTTCTAGTTTCATATTTTGATTGATCGACTCGCGGAGGCACAGGATTTTTCCTTTCATTTAATACTAGATTTGAAACTGTCCCTGCATTCTATTTCCGTTTTAATAAATTGTGTTAATTCCGAAACTTCAACTTTATCTTTCGATCCTCTTTGCCGATTAAATTCCAAAACTAAATCGTCCGGAATTAATTTTAATAATATTGGAATTAGTAAATGTCCATATGAGCCAGAAGTTACCTTCTAAAGCTTCCAAATTACGAAATCAAAACTTCTAATTTCGTCATACAATTTACATAAAGCCTTTACATTTAGCAGAATTTTTAACAGCTTCTAAATTGAGAATTTTATTCATGAATGGAATTAAGTGATCAGGTCTTTTCGACCATATCTGTCCTTTTAGTGATGCTACACAACTATCATAATTACTTTCTGTTAATTTCAAAGCCTGAAACAATATTCGAAAGCTTGTCTCTGTTAAGAATATTTTTAAAGTAGGCATAATTTTTGTATTTTTGAAAGCGTTTTCGTTATTTATGTATCGAATTTCCGAATCTATTCCAAAATTCATTCCATTGTTTCGAGTCTCCCCAAAATTTATCAATCATTAATTTTGGTAATTTCAGCGTACTACTCCCACTAGAACTGGAACTTACATGCAAAATTCCATTACCACTAAGACTAGTTTAAATCAGAACTTTGGGGGTTCCTCGCTGGCGATACTGCGGTAACCGCACCTAGAAACTGCTTAATTTGACTACAAGCAATTATACATTTGTCATTGTATTCTTCGCTTATACTAAATTTTCTTCAATTAAGTTAACATGAATTAACTCTTGTTCTCTTGTATTTCATCAAGCGTTCTCAAATTATTTTTCTTTTCGGTTAATAATTCAAATAATTCCCGTAATTCTTTAATCAAATTTTCCTCCCCCTTCAATTTTTAATTTATCTTCAATCACTTTAATTAACCTAGTAACAGACGATCTCAATGTGGAACGTTTATGTTTCAACCTATCTAACTTCTCATCCATTTTATTTAATTTAAATACACCCACGACAGCAATAATAAATACTTACTAATTTACTACAAATAATCACTAAATAATTAATTTAAGATTTCCCTACCTTTATTTGGAATTCCATTGTCCCTTGAATATGAAATATCCTAAATCGAAACACTTAGATCGAACACCTAAAATCTTCACAAAGCCTTAATTTACGCCAATGCACCTTTTCCTTCAAATTACACAACATCTGGCAACCTTCGCCCCGCGAGATGGCCACTAATTAGTTTCCCTCTTTCTTGATAGGTGCGGTCTTAACTTCCATGCCATGAGGTGTTCTGCAGTTCTGTTTTATATCATCTTCAGCACCACAGTTCTAACACTTTAAGGTTGGTTCGTTTTTTTGTCACTCCTATTCCGTCTTAACTAGTCGTCTAGATGAGTAGTCACTTGATTCACTCGTACTTGGACTTGCGCAGCTCTGATTAGGTGGCGGTCTCAACAAGTTGCTTTCTGGACTGCCTCGAATTTCATGGTGTACACCAGAGCGCTTTTTAAATCCTTGACAAACGCCATTCGTAGAGCTTTCTATATCCCGGGATCCCCGATGCCGTCGATGAAGTACTGCAGGGACAAAATTTCCCATTTATGTGTCAGTGGGCGTTTGTTGATGGGATTTTAGTTGAAGACTGCTGTAGTCTTTTAAACATTTCTGCCCAAAGCACCAGATAGAGCTTTGAGATCTATCTAGCCTCTTACGAAACCGAGGTTTTCAGGAAGAGTCGTAAGGATATCCGCTGCGTCTGCTTAAGGGAAGCGGCGAGGTGACAGGCCTTACCTTGGGAATCTCATCCATTCGCTTCCGCAACTATAGAAAATTGTGTTTTGTATACATGCCAAGAGGTCTTCCCATCATATATGGATAACTTCAGAGAGGAACGAGCAGGCATGGGTAGAAATGTAAAACCACCAGAACCGATGTCTACTGTCGTAGGAATTTATTTAAGGTGTCGACTTCTTTGGCAACCTCAGAAACCCTGTCGTCAATTTGTTGTTCCATGGCAGAAACTCTCTCTTTTCTGTTTCTTCTTTGACAGAAGAAACTCTTTCTTCAATTTGTGCAACTTGATTTTCAACTGCGTCTATTTTGCCTTCCATAGGCTCAAATTTGTTTTCTATTTTTCAGGTAATTTCTCTTTTCGTTTTTCCTTGACATGCTTCAATCTTTTCTTGAGCAGGTTCTTTTCTTTCATATCATCTTTAAGGCATTATTGGCCCACATTCATTTCTTCTTTGAACACAGCAAAGGCTGCCACCAATTTCCCTAGTTGTTGTTCCCTACGCTCTTGTCACTGGCATTCAATCCTACTTCTGACACCAAAAACTGTTGCTTGCATACGGGTTCATAATAGATTGAATGCATAAGTCTGATAATAGGGTAGTAAAAATTTATTTTGACTTAGAGAAATATTTCAGAACTGTGGAATTTTCCACAGAAATATTCGTACAGGCATTCACAGTATAATCAGTATAACTTCCAAGAACGTTAAATACAACGGAATGCAAAGCGCATCTAAAGAGAAAGCTAACTCGGATTTATTTCAGTTCATGCTGGCAACAACAATAGCTAAGCAATTGAGAGTAGATGCTATCTCTTCGGCCTTACATAGTCTTCACCCGGCCGCCGAGATATTTCTATTACTTTCTGGTTCTCGAAATTACTGGAAAGCAATACGAGGGTGAAATTACGGTTACAGCTAACATAGTGGTCAATTACATTTATTCAATTACAATACTTATTACAATAACACATGAACTGGACCAAAATGTCGCCAAATATGGCTACAAAATAAGTCGCCAAAACCGTTGTCAGCTTGGCGGTATCTCACCAAATTACCGAGATACCCATTTACTTAATGTGGAATGCACTTGACCTTGTATTCTTACTTTTCCGGCATAACTTTCTCTTAAAATTTGTTGCGCTACATTACACAGAAGAAAACGACAGTTTTACTTATAATTCAACTAAAATTATCTATCCAAGTACAAAATTCGTAGCAATATCTTTGAATACGACTTTTGCTACAGTGTAAATTAATTAGTTCAGTATACAGGTTTTTTGGAACATAATCACATTTTTTAATGGTAAATGGAAGTAATGTAAAATTATATTCTATATCATTAAAATCTTAAACACTTTTGTCATAATAATAGTAATTAAGTTGCAATAGATGTATTCATGGGCTGTCAGTTTGATATTTTTGCTGTGAATGACCTGAAGTATCAACTCTATGAATCATGTGGCACTTGCAATTAATATGTAGAAAGTACTTAGTCCTTACAATGAAGGATTATTAGGTTAAGTTAATTGATTAAGGCAATTTGTCAGTTATCTGCATATGGAAAGAGTTGCCTTCATGGTCAAACTACCAGTTTTCTTTGATTTTACTGGTGGGGCACAGAGGATTATTAATAACTTTTTAGTGAGAAAAGGAATCTGAAGTTAACAAATGTTGATCAGGCTTTTGCAGATAGTATGGAAACCTTGCCTGCCACGAAGTCAGAGTGTAGTCATCTGGAATTGAATTATTTACGCACTGCATTTCCTACACACTCGTTGCTTTCTCAGCCACTACATGATGACAAAATGAACTTGTTAAAGGGTTACATGTGTCACTCAGACTATTCACAGTTAAAAAGTGTGTCTGCAACAGTCCAGAACATACTCCAC